TCCAACCCTCACTAGTCGTCCCTAGATCAAGACTCGTAACTAAAGATGACCAGGCCTTTGCCATCAAGGCCCCGAGGCTCTGAAATTCACTGCCTGAGGAGATTAGGCTGGCTCGCACATTACCCGTTTTTTAATCATTGCTTAAAACATGTTTTTACCAGAAAGATTTGTACTTTTTTGGTTTGTAATTTTTGTGTTTTATTTCCTTTTGCCGTTGTGCACACCATTCTTTTTTAAATGTTGTATTCTTATTTTCATGCACATTTTGAAGCTCTTTGTGACCTTGTTTAGATAAGTGTGATACAAATAAAATTATTATGGCATTATTATTAGTGTCTGCAATCTAGAACCAACAAATTAGTTATATGGCTAACTCTTGCTCAACAGTTGCGGTCCAAAAATAATATGGTCATTACTCATTGCAGAGTACACATATATCTAAAAAAAAAAAAAAAAAAAAGACAAAAAAAAGACATGCAATGGGTGTATGTCTAAAATGCATACTGGCTTTCGTGAACTGTACAAGAGAGCCATGTTCCCAGAAAAGCAACACATACACAAACATACAGTATATATAGCACAATATGAAAGCAGCTATAAGTTTTGGTTTAGGGTTTGGTTCGAACTGGTCAGCACTATGAAAACTGTGGGAAACAAAGGGACAAGCATGGCAAAAAATATGCTTTAAGTGTTGTTTCATAAACAGATAACTGGCTTCTAGTAGCTTATATTCAGTCATAAATGTACAAGCATACAGATCCAGCATTAAGTAAAATGATATGGGAAAAAAAAGAAACAATTGACATCAGCACGCAAACAGGGTTACTAGCTCTAAGGCTGAACGCTGATACAGTCCGAGCGAATTTTAAGATAAAAGTGAGAGATAATCACACCAGACCATCACTGAAGTCAGCAGCACCAGCGCTTAAAGCTAAGTAAAATCATTTACTACTACTGCCAGGCACCTGCCACTGAATGTTTGAAGTGTGAAAGTAAGAGCCAGGAGGAAGGTCAGACCTGTTAAGGTGTAGATATCAGTTAGAGTGTATGTTTGCAAAACCGGTATTCTTCAATGACCCGAGCTGCCCCCAACTCAATCTCACACACACACACACACACACACACACACACACACACACATATACACAAACACAACCAGAAGCCATCTGCAGGAAAAACATACTGGGCTATTTAACAGTTTTTATCCTACAATATGTATTCAGTTCGGCCAGACACAACAGATTTGTGCGCTTTTCACCTTCATCTCTAACCTCCTCATATAACTGACAAGACAGTTTGTATACAAGGTCAGTCTCGCGGACAAAAATGTTCTCACTGCAGTGCTGCAAAGTTAGTCCGAACTTTTACAAAAAAAAAAAACTTTCCCAAAATATCTGGTGAGCTCAGTCAATATCAAGTCCCTGTCTTTTCCATATTTGCAGAGATGCACGGGAACATTATGTGTCTGAAATGTGTCTGATGCGAGGAAACAGCATCTTCTTTACACTTCAAACCTACAATCTAACAGTGACATAAAGGTGGACAAGTTCCCCACGAGCAGCAAATATATATATGGTTATCAAAAAAGGCAAGAGCATGGACCAATCAATGATTTTAACTTCCTCTAAATCATTATATCATATTATGTAAGGCAATTGAAACGATAACAAATAGCATTCTCTCACTGTGCACACACATGCTGCCATAAAACTAAAATATTGAAACAGAAATTAAGCACAGAATGATACTCACAGCTTCTCTTTAGATCATTGAAGCACAGAAAAATGCTAGCTTCACTAAATGGCAGTCACTTAGAAGGCTCTTCTCACCCCTAGAAAGCCTTATGCAGCTGAAATGACTCACATCCCCTCTCCCAACCTCTGTCAACCATCATGAGGAGGTAAACATTTCCAAATATGGAGAAAATATGAAGACAGTATTGAGGGCAATATCAGTTTGGTTTGCTTTTAACTTGGAATGCCATACTCCGTGAGCCAGAGTCACTCAGCACAGCCAGTTCTGTGGTGCATACCTTTCACTAGGAATAATAAAGATGATTGTAGAGGAACTTTTCACAATCGCTTTGGATTCAGTCTGACCTAAGATGGGTAACACTGTGAGTCTGCCCCACAAGCTTCATTTCTTAAAGGGAAGGCAGTTGAAATGTGGAGAGGAGAAGATTAGATAGCTTAAAACCACAAACAGGAAACTTAATAAATTTGCAAAAAAGCAGGGAAACATAATCATAATTTACTTTTTTGTTAATCAGGAGACTGGGGCCAGAGTAGACGTTAAGGACAGCACATTTACTGTGAGAAGCTGTCTTGTCACACAGATTGTCTTCAAGTGATTAAGAAGGTGTAATTAAAGTCTGATTACATCCCATGAGTGCTGTGGGTCAGCGGAGATCACGGTAATATTAACAGCTGCTAAGAGAGAACATTACACCTCCCTGCATGGACTGGAACGGTTTTGAAGAGCAACTTGGCTTAAGAGTGCTCGTTTCCTCAAACAGAACAACCCACTTCATGCAAATCCCAAAGAGACAGGCCGCATTCAGACAACTGAAATTATTACATGTTCATAAATTCTTTAAAATATATTTGCATTTAAAATACAGTCTCTGCTTTTTTAAATAACCTTCTGTGAATCCCGAAGTCCTAAATCTGGTGCAAATCTGATCCAAAGCCAAGTCGGTCTGAACAGACATACGAGAATATATGTAACTTTTACATGACGCTAATGCAACATTTGTCTGGTACTTGAGAAGAGATGAGAAAAGCCTGTTGCGATGGAGGTGATCTGTGGGAGAAGAGTGAGGTGCTACAAATTTTTTGGAATGTTGTCTTAATGAAAGCCAAACTCTGAAAGACAAAATCCTGGCATGTTCGGAAGAGACGGCCAAACAGGGTCACGCGAGAAATTGGCTGCAATGTCCACGCAGAGCTTTTAACATAACATCGAAGAAGCTGAAAACTTAAATAAAAGAGGTGGCCATGGTTTCATAATGTGTGCTCTTAACAATGAGCTAAACCACGATGAATGCAATCAACCTCGGCCAGCTGAGATTAGGGATGTCACAAGAACTGATACTTTGGTACCAAGTGGACGCCAAAATTCTGAAAACGTGGTGGGACTAATTTTTCTCCATTACTGTAGTCACCAGGGATGCAATTCTTCCAGACCTGAGGGGGCAGCATGTACGCCTACAGGTGTTCTAGTCTGCCATTAAATGCCAAAGGAAGAAGAAGACAAACGCCTACCAGCACGTTTGAACAACAACAAATGGAAGACGGTGATGTGCAGCTGCAGCGCCAGCTCTACCTTGACTCGTTGAAAAGGAAAGAGTTTTCTTGAGGTGTCTCCTATTTACACTCTGCTACAAACTCCAGCAGCTTGACAAGGTACCAAGTATCTATTCTACTCTGAGTGCCGCACGTTACTTCCAATCACAGTGGGAGAGGGTGGGACAAACAGCCTCCCACAAAGACAACCGTCATGTTTTAACGTGTACAAGTGCTCTTCTGCATGAGCACTCAGGTGTGAAGCCCAGTTCAGACCAAACATTCACGACAAGACAAAACCGTTTCAGAACGTTGCAGAGAAAAGTTGTAGAGGTGTGAACTGGCCGGTCTGAGCTTGATTCAAGCCGGCTGATGGTGTCACCTGCAACTCCGCTGCTCAAATTGCGGGCGGCTGGTTTTGGAACATAAAGCATGTCACCTGATTCTAAAGCCAGTCGGTTTGTAATTAAGTCCGCTGGTCAAGTCAAAATGACCGCAGACGGTGTGTTCGAGCCCTCTTTTTCCCAAAAATAAGCCTGAAAAGCTGCAAATCAGAACGGAAGTACAGAGAATTGTTGCATAGAGATGATACACCATCTCATCTAGTTGCATTGGTGTGAACCAGCAGGTTTTTAGAACGTTGCAGAGCGGCACATCGCAAGTAGTTGCCTGTTTCAACTCGTCTTGTCGCAAATCATTGGTCTGAACTGGGCTTAACATCTTTGGTATTGTAGCAAGTGAGTTCAGAGCAACTTCTTGAGATTGGTTTTAGACTTATGTCACTTTACAAAACACAGAGTGAGCAGTCTAACAAATTAAACAGGCCCTAAACATTAAAACAGGCCTCCAGCTATTAGTAAAGCACCTTTAAAATTATCAGACTCACAGTTTTTAAAAAGTCAAAATCGATGCAGCAAAACCAGCGATATCATCTTTTTTTATTCCACACATTTTTTTTTTTACCCTTGTTAAAATCTGGCACCCGCCTCACCCACAAGACAACTCGACAGCCAACAGTTCGTTTAGAGATTTGGGTGATGCTAGCAGCAGCTAATGTAGCCTTGAGACTCAAGCAGAGATGAGGTGCTACAGAGGTCTGGTAAACTCACTTCTGTCAAACTCCACACCAACAGACTCTTTTCACTTTCAAACTTGCAGTCTTCAGCCGCAACCATCGCTGACTCAAACGACATCACTCAAGGACTTTTATCAGATAACCCGAAGCTCCCTCTGAAACCACAAAAGGCTTCATAAAACTTTTGTTTGCATACACAGTAGCAACCTTCTTTCACTTTAAGGCCTGAAGCTTGGCCCTAAAACAGAGAAGACACTACACCTGAAGCTGTAAAGCTCACAGAGATACTACATCAAGGAGAAATTAAGAGCAATTCTCATTTTAAGATGCACTGTTTAACACAATGATTTACTAACAAGCACTGACACCGGGGGACGAACAATCATATTTTGCTTTACTGTGTTCACCACTGAACAACTTTAAGTTCCCAAATCATCCTCATGGGCAAATTTATGTTAGTTTTTGAGAATAACTTGACCCTGACTTGCTAAATTATGTCCATATTTTTGCGCTTAGAGTGCAACGCACGACCTTTCAAACATAAGTTCTACTACCATCCAACGTGAAAGCACAAAAGCAGGACAAAAACAAGACCAGCACACAGTAAATAAAGAAGCACAACACAGTAAAAGCTATCTTACCTTTTCTCCTCTCTGGATGTACGGGATTCCTGTAATACTGTTGAAGCGATGCCCTTTACTGTATGTTGAAATCTGCTGAGATTGAGAAACACAGACAACTCTGTATTACTCAAACGGATTACATAACTATAATTGTGCTGTGCAGGTCCCCACCAACATGGTGAGTGGGTCCTGTCAACTCAAGGATATTTCCTTCCACGAGTGTATGGTTTATCAGTGGAAAGATAAGTCATGGACGGGCTCCTATAAATCCTGCACGAACCCAAGTGTAAGTTGTCCATTTAAATTTTAGTCTGTCACTTCTCACCAGGCACCTGTCACAGCCTGTTGGAGTAATATTTCATTGCAAAGATACAGTACAGGGAAAACAATGTTGACACGTGGCACTACAGAAGATATTTCACCACACTGTAACAATTATTTAGTGATGACAACTCAGATAAGGGTACCTCTGTCAGGAAAGGGACAATCTTTTTTTACAGCAGTATGTTGCTGCTTAGTGGTATTTAAATGTACAACAATTATTTTGATCTGTCAGATTTAAAGGCCAAGCCACACAAGTTTTGTTAATAATCCTGGCTGATTAGTCAGGTTGAAGTATGGTAGAGCTACGCTGGGAGTGGCATGATGTCACCAAACTCTAAGGGCTCATTCACACCATGATAGTCCAGGGGACTCGGTTCAATTGGACGGGGAATGCCGAAAAATGCTACACATTCATTTGGTTTGGTTCACTTTCACACTGCACTTTTTAAAGTGGACCAAACCACCTAGACAACATCGCGCAGTTATTGCCCGAAATGACCACTGACCAGGAAGAAAAAAAGCATGAGGAAGAAGAAAACCCAGCTCATTGTTTGGCCAGGACCGAAAACGGAAATCCATCCCCTCCCACTTTCCCTTTTTTTTCTACCCAAAATACACTGCACTCTATGTCACTTCCTCTCTTTGGTTCACTAGATAGTCCGTTTGCATTTCCCACTGTAAGCGAACCACACCAGACCCCCAGTTTTCAAGCGGACCAGAGTTCACTCGTTTGGTCCGCACCAGAGTTCGAATGATCGTTCACACCACTCCAAACGAACCTAACTATCTTTGGAAGCGGACCAGGGTTCGTTTAAAGCGGACCAAATAGCATCAAGAATGATGACACTGTCAGTTGTCCCACCCCTGCAGCAGGTGAATCAAGACGAGAGTAAGGGAGATGTCAATCAAGCACAGTCCTCGTAGTCCTGAGAAAAGGTCAAAGACACCAAATCCAATTGCCAGAATAAGGGCACGATCATGCAAAATAACACTATTTAATATCTAATAACATTAGCAAAGATATGCCTCCTGCTCAATTCCATTCAATCCAAACAAGAGATAAATATAACACTCACTTCCAGTGGCAAAGCAAACTGGAAGTTCAACCAAATAAATAAGATGTGTCTGTTCATCACAAATATCAAACCACTGGAATAGCAGCCATGATTAAGTGCTGCTGAGCACTGCAGTCAGGGTTAAGTGCAGAAAAACATATTTACTGCACCTGAAACAAAGGGACGTTTAAACCTGTTGTTCAGTTCATGGGGAAAACAGATAATTCAATTTTTTTTTGCTCTCTCATGATTGAATACACAAGGCTAATCTGTACGGTTGAAGCCTTAAGTAGCAATATTCGTCTAGTCATCTATTGTTGCTTTTGATTATTGCTATAAAATGTAAAATAATGCCTGTCACAAGCGTCGCACATCATGTCTTCACTGCTCATTTTGTCATACAGACTGAAGCTGTAACATGTAATTGTCACTTGATAACAATTTAACTGATTAGCTCAGGGTGTCTTCAGGTATTAGACACTTAAATTTAATGCCTTTAAGACCTTCTTCATGATCATTTCTGACCAAATTTAAGACAGATTTTTGGACGAATCATCATTTTCTCATTCAAGCATTGCAGGTGAGTATGAAAGTAAGTAGTGTATATGGGTTCCCATGCAGAGGCAGATGTTATGGAGGAATAAGGTAAAAGTGAGGTAAGTTAATCTACATTTTGCCAACAGCTCAGTGCAAGTAAAAAGACGTATTAGTATTCAGTGGTAGATTTAAAGACTTGTAACATCAAAAATGTGGACTTTTATGTAGAAAAACTTGACTCGTTTTGACAAAACAAAATTAAAATATGGATAAATGAAATTAGATAAAATGTTCGTGGCAAATAAAATTCAAATTTAAGACAACTAATTTTAAGGACTTACATTTATAAAATTGAATTTAAGACATTTTATGCCCTTTAAGGAGCTGTAGACAACCTGCTAGCTGTTTTAGTTAGGTTTAGTTTAGCAGTTTATGACTTTATTATACCTGATTAAGTTTAATTATGTCAGTTTATGAGGTAGATAGTTTTTATGTCTTGTCAGGAACCCCTATCGCCTTGTTGACAAATTGTTTGACACAGTGATTTAGCCTACATCACTCTCACAGGATATGAAGCACTGTTGGGATGGTAAAAGCACAGGACATGAGTTTACTTTGCAACTAGTCTTTACCCTGAGTGTAGTTTCAGATATTGGAGATATGCAGGTATTGTGTCAATGAAATGTCCTGCTGGACTTTTCAGTGATCTATGATGATTTAAGTTAAAGACAAACAACAGTAGTTTTGTGCAAACCAGGCTACTACATGTCACACCCTACCTGAGAGCACAGCAGAAATTTTAAGCGGGCACTGACATGTCCGTGCTGTGCTCTGTATGTTGTCTCAGAAGTCTGGTGTCATTATCTGTCAAAGGAATATACACTTTTTTTTCTTCTAACGTGATTTATGTAACGTTTTTCTGTCGTATTTGCGTATTTCGGTGGAGGTTAATTATTTCACATTACATCACTAATAGAAGTTCAAGAGTCTCGGGTTCGAGAGTCCCCAGACTTACATTAAATGATGGTAGCTAGCCTCAGTTCATGCTTCTCATGTTTTATCATTACATTCTGCGTTCTTTTCCAGTTTCTTCAAATGGAAACACTTACTCAGCGGTTAGCAAAAAGCAGTGACATAGGTTACAGCACTGATAATATTTATATTAATATTTATCTCTGATGGGGAACTAAAGCCTTTCCGTAGCTCTCTTCAAAGTCACGAGAATCCTTTGACAAAAAAAACAGCAATTTTACCTCGCAGAACACAGGAGTTGCTTGTCTAACGCTGCCTCGATCAGTTAGTTTGTGTTATCATGTGACTTCTGGACCCAAACTAATGTGGTGTCCACAGCGATAAGAAAAAACAAAAAATGATAACAATAATTATCGCAATATAACTGCGAAAATTACGAACAAATGTTCAGTAAATCCTCCATATAATTAAACCACCCACACGCTCGTAGAGTTGTGCACCTTCAATGGTAAGTTAGCATGTTAGCATGACTAACTAACCAGCTATTCAATTAGATTGATATGACATAACGTGACTAAATGTAACATGAATGAAAACCTGAGTCACAAAAAGGCACATTAGACTGGTAAGGGGGTTTATGTGAAGCAACATCACCATGCAGAAATCTACGTCAGGTTACGTGGAAAAGGAACACTACTGGGGAGCCACAAAATGATAGAGATACCTAAAATAAATAATAATAATGAAAATAATAAAAACCTGCCCTTAAACAACACTTAATGCTGTTCTAGAGGTGATTCCAGATTCCTCAGAGCATCTTCTAACTATCTGGATTCAAATATATTCTGTTTATTGCACAATAAAATGGATTTGAACCCATTTATCAAGTTGCAACTACATCGCCTCAGAAAAATATTAACACATTATTATTGTGAAAATATTGAATACTGCAAAGAAGCATCAGTGTGAACCAATATAATTCAAATTGGATAAATAAAGCAAGGAGAAATATCCACTCCAGCTTCCATCATTCAGAAAATGGGCTGCAACTTGGGAAATTGGTTAAAAATATTTCTTATCACGGAGCATCCAGATGATTAGACAAATCTTTTGAGGATTCTGGAAATACCTTAAGTGATGTTAAATGGCAAAGATTGACAGTAGTCTGTAGATCAAATGTAAGAGCACAAAACACAAAAAACTCTGGTACCAACAGGCCACATTTGCCACGGCTCACAGAGAGATGCACACTGGTTCCTGACTGTGGTAACACTCACAAAGGCAACACTTTCTGAAAGCTCACTGTCTTGACATCACACTCAACTCTAAAACTGTTCATTTTGAGTCAGGGAAACTGCGGCTGCTCCTTCCAGAAAAGGGACATCCTCATTAAAGTAACACAAACAGTAGAATAACTTGACTAAGCCTACCAGGGGGGCCCGGGCTCAAAGGCAGTTGAGGCACTCATCTTTTAACTTTAACATCATCAACGCTGTCAAACGAGTCCTTTTTAACCAAAGATTTTAAAGACAGTTCCGTTTAATGTTGCCTGAGTCAAAAGTGTGTCGGAGCGACGCAGATGTATTCGGTTTGATGGCAGCACTCTCCAGAGACCTTGGTGTTATTGATTTGAAATCCAACATCTAAGTCAAAGTTTGAATTCAGTCTTTTAAAGAAGAAAGTGAGACTTATTTTTCAGGTTAGCAACATTTTATAGCACAACAATGTCTATTGTCTGGACCAAGGTTCCTTTTCACAAAAGATGGAGACATTTTTGACATTGTTAAAGCTACATTTGGGAGGTATTCAGTGAGTTATCTGTGACTGTGACCCACATAAAGCTTTAGGAGAAATCTTGAAGTGTTAAAGGTTCAGTGTTTACGATTAAGGGGGATATATTTGAAGAAATGGAATATGATGATGATGAATGAGCTGCTTACATCTTTATAGGGAGCAGGTCCTCATCTAAGAAGATCGCCATGTTGCACCCCCATGTTTCTACAGTAGCCCAGAACCGACAAACCAAATGCTGGATCTAGATGGGGCACACGTCTGCCACCTACTTAGCAAACCCTCCGCCATGAGCAGCATCAGAAGAAACACAGATGTGTAACACGAACCTGCTGTATTTAATGTTTTTACAAGTTTTAATCACCCGGGGTCTCATTTATAAAACAATGCGCAAGATCCATACCAGGGCCCGACCAATTTATCGGCCGGCCAATTTAATCGGCCAATTATAGCCATTAGAGAATAATCGGCAAGAAATGATGTCCTTGTGTTACTTTTTGCCCTATGACCTACCTCTGTTAAATTGGCAATAATAAGAAGAACTCTGGTACTGTGAACATACATGTTAATGTCTTAATTCATATAAACTTTGCATGATTATTTTATATCCCAGAGGTTTACTGCCTTTTTGCACATCATATTTTTGATTTATTTTGTGTTTAAATTGTTCATATGCTGCTTGTTCCACACAATTTCTGATAATAAAATATTTGAAAATAGTAAAATGTTCTTCCTTCAATTTATATCTTTGTAACGAGTGTCTGAACTACATTTAAGCCATCAAAAGCAGGTATTTCGGGGTTTTTTAAATTGAAAAATGTAATCGGCCAATATATCGGTTATCAGATTTTTTTATTCCATAATATCGGAATCTGCATCGGCCCCAAAAAATCCATATCGGTCGAACCCTAATCCATACTAAAAATGTACGTACGGACAAAAGCCAAAAATGTCATGGGCCAAAAAAAAAAACATAGTCACTGATCTTTAAGTCCCGTCTCCAAAATGTTTGTAGGCATAGGTCAAAGTTTCTCCCACCAAGTCCATTTTTATAGATAACTTTTGCGTGGGAAGTGGCGTACGCCTCTTTCAGGCCTTGTTGTGTGCGTACACAATGTCTATAAATGAGACCCCTGGTCCTTTTGTTTCAGAGAGGAAGAGACCTCTGTGGATAATTCAGCTTTCGGTAAAAACCTCCTGAATGTCTCAATCTTAAGTTGTCCGAGCAGGTGCTGGGCTAGCTTCCCATCTCCAACATGCAGTGTTTTTAACTATTTTAATCAACTGGTCTGTTTTGGAGAGGATAAGACCTCTATGAATAATTCAGCTCCCACTAAAAATGTCCTGAACAATGAACACTGAAGGAATTCCAACTGGTAGAAATTTCAGCTGGTGGCAATCTGCAACCCTCACCTATATGCCACCTCAAACTGTTTAAGTACAAGATCTGAATACTTCTTCCATCACTGCCTACGTATGAATACTTTGGCATTGGAGCCAACCTATAGTATAGAACTAAGAACAACAAATGAAACAGTAAATGTCAAGCTTCAAAAGCTCCGAGACTGAGAAATACCAAATTCTGCCAAAACTGTCAGACATTCAAAACCAAAATGATTTGATCAGTTGGGGGAAACTGAACAGGCATTATCTTCATTTTGATTCCTTAAAACTGTCATGTCTGGGAGGAGTTTAGCTGGTTGCAACCTGCAATCTTTACCACACTGGACGAAATGAATGGGATTTATTTGTTTTTTGTCCTTTAAGAAAAATGACAGTGTTGAACACAAAGGATGTAATCAGCAGTGAAGACAATAGGCTTAGACTGTTTCCTTTTCTTAGACATTAAAGTGGATAACATTTAACTTCTTATCTAAAGGAGGAAGAAAGTCATTCAAAACTGTCTTTCCTTGAGGAAGCATGAAGACACAGTACCTGACATGTGTCTATTGAAGTGAAGTTTAGGTGGAGCCAAGTGTGTCCTGTTTGTGCATTTGTATGTCACAAATCAAGCCAGTGATGCTTTTCTGTCTTGTCTTTTGATTTAAACCTGTATTAAAAGTATATTGCAGGCCTGCACTGTAATGTTAGACATCTCAAGTCATATCTACGGACCCGAAACCACAGTTTTCTTTAAGTTAACGATAAAAGGCCGTGATGAAAACTGCTTAAACAATGTGGCGAATCTAAGCTGTGGTAAACAAGTCAGTTCATACGTTATGGGGGTTAATTTAATTTAATTAATGACGACGCTAAAGCTAGCTAACACTAACTTAGCTAACAGTTGTTCAAGTAATGGGACACTTTAGTAAATTGACGCTAAGTTATGAGTCTACTAAAGTGAAATTCAGCAACATATTTGTCAGCAGACAGTCAGTAGCCATGTTTCCATCAGCCTGTTTAGATGCGCATCTAGAAGTATCGCATTGGAAAATTATGATGGAAACGCCAAAATTCGAATTAAAATCCCCTGATTTGCACAAACTAAAATACGCTTGCTTTAGACAGGTTTTGGTTGATTCGAAAAAATGTTGATTCGCAAAACAGGGGATGGAAACAGTTACGTTCAAATTAAGTCTGACGTAGCGCACCTCTCTCCATGGTGATCACGCGAGTTCGTAGTTTTCACCAAAGTCCGTACATTTAATGGAAACACACAGGATTCGTATTTCTTTTAATGTGCATTCCCCAATGATTCGAATCACTTTTGGATGGAAACATAGCTAGTGTGTCTTCTGCAGTGTCATACTGATTCCTTAAAACTGTCATGTCTGGGAGAAGTTTAGCTGGTTGCAATCTGCAATCCTCACTACGCTGGACCTTTAAGTGAGGCACACAAATGCAAACAAAACTTCACAATATATGTAATGAATGGAGTGACATTTGGTACTAATAAACATCGCTGGAATACTCCCTCATACCAAGAAATGAATGGGATTTGTTTGGTTTTTGTCCTTTAAGAAAAATCTTATCTAAAGGAGGAAGAAAGTCATTCAGAGCTGTCTTTCCTTGATGAAGTGTAAAGATACAGTACCTGACATGTGTCTATTGAAGTGAATGGGGAGTTTAGGTGGAGCCAAGTGTGTCCTGTTTGTGCATTTTAATGTCACAAATCAAGACAGTGATGCTTTTCTGCCTTGTCTTTTGATTTAAACCTGGATTAAAAGTATATTGCAGGCCTGCACTGTAACGTTAGACCTCTCCTATGTGACTTTATGGGCCTCAGCAAACATATTTCTGAATTATATTGTCATTTATGAAGCATAATGGGTACAAAAGTCAAAACAACTGACTCGAAATTAAAGTTTTGTTTGAGTTAATGATAAAAGACCGTGATGAAAACTGCTTAAACAACGTGGCGAATCTCAGCTGTCGTAAACAAGTTCATACGTTATGGGGGTTATTTTAATTAACGACGACACTAAAGCTAGCTAACACTAACTTAGCTAACAGTTGTTCCAGTAACGGGACAGTTTGTGAGTTATGACTCTGCTAAAAGTGAAATAAAGCGACATATTTGTCAGCAGACAGTCGGGGTCTCTCTCTCATGTCTCTCCGGTGACAGTGTGTCTTCCGCATTGCTCAGCAGCAGACCACTTGGCTAAAAACAGACACACCAGAGACGCCCAGAAAACTTGACGGTTCACAATGTCTTATATTTTCACCGCCTGACTGAGCCTAGCTGGGCACAAGCTACCGACAAGTTAGCTTTGTTAGTATCCTCATGTAACATTAGCAGCAGCCAAGGCTACCGTGCGAGTCCACGCCCTCATTGTGAACTCAGTCCGAGCTACAGTAAAATCCATATCACAGCCCAACAAGGCCGAACGAACTGGAGACGAGCCGCAGCTCCAACACCGGGTTTACCGGGCATACCTTCAGTCACAGCGGGTCAAACACAGCCGATAGTCGCAGGTATCTCTGAAGCGCCGGAAGAGTGCTCGGTAGTTTCGCTTACCTCGCTTTCTAGGAAACCTAACAGAGGTTCAAATCCCACCAAAAAAAGTGAAACTTCTTGATCCAAATTCTGGGAGAGTTGTAGGCAGTGACGTCACGCTCTGAAATTCCAGCCGTCTCAGGGAGTTGAGAGGTTTGCCCATGTAAGGCAGCAGGCCAGCGGTGACACCGAGCACCCGGGACGGCCTGTTGGTTGTTTACGCAGGGATGTATGTATGCAACAGGACAATCTGCATAACTAAATGTAGTTTCCCCTTTTCTTTTCTCAGCATTCACTTTACCAGTAAATTATATTTCTCATGGTATAAATAGTCACTGATCTTTACCATGTTGATATCATCACTACATATATGATCATATCCACCCACTTCATGTATATTAAAAAACTGTTATATTAATCAGCCCATACTAATTCCAGCACCCTTTGCGCTACTGCATTACTGTTTATAATTTCAGTGTAGGCTATACAGACACTTTGTAAATATATACTTATATCTGTACATAGCGGTTAAATGTTTATGTTTACCTTGTCCAGTTTTGTTGTCCTTGCTTTAGTCTGTTTGTGACATGTATATATATTGACATGTATATGGATGAACAGACAGACAGACAGGCAGATACTTTATATATATATTTATAGCCTATATAGAAATAGTAGTCAAATGTTTGTTTACCTTGTCCAGTTTTGATTTCCTTGTTGTAGTTTATTTATGATGTGTGTGTGTGTCTATGTATATG